TCGACAAAACGTAAAAGCAATGGTAAGTGAGAATATTGTTTTAATTTTGTCTTTGCTAATAAGATATTATTGCTATATTTTAGTATCTGATAGACCAGAAAGCGAAGAAAGTGACCAAGGCTCTAGCTCTACCTCTGTTAGTTCAACTCCTCAAAGGAAGAGACAAAAAATGTCTTTAGTTTGGAACTACTTTACAAAGTCCTTATTAGACAAAAAGTTTGCTAAGTGTTGCACTTGTGGCAGAGAGTATAAAACAAGCGGAAATACAACGAACCTAACTGATCATTTAAAAAGGTTTCATCCCAATTTAAATAAGCCACTATTAGAAACATCAGGTAGTTAAATCTCAGGGTTGTTTTATTTAAAGTAATAATTTTAATGTTTTTAGGTGAAGATGAAATAGGCAAAGAAAATTATGCAAGATCAAATGTTCGTTCTATAAGCCCCTTTTTTAGACGAGAACAAGAGTATGATGCTAACTCTCAAAGAAAAAAAGAATTAGATAAGGCTCTTGCAATGATGTTGGCTACAGACTTTCAACCGTTTTCTATTGTAAAAGATAGTGGATTTATAAAATTTGTCCAGTTATTAGATCCAAGATATGTACTTCCATCACCTGACACTTTAAAAAATACTGTGTTGAAAAATTTGTATGATGACGGAGTGAAAAAACTTACTACAATTTTAAACGAAATAAAATATGTGGGTCTTACGACAGATATTTGGACCTCATCAGCTAACGAGTCCTATATTTGTTTAACGTGCCATTTTATAAACAAAGACTGGGAAATTAAAAAGGCTGTTTTAAAAACAAAAGTAATGGATACTAATAACACATCAGAAAATATAGCAGATTGCATAAGAAAGATTTTAGACGAATACAAAATATCTGATAAAGTATCATGTATCGTAACGGATAACGCAGCTAATATGATAAAAGCTTGTGATCTGTTACGAAAAAAACATTTACCATGCTTTTCACATACGCTAAATCTGGTTGTCCAAGATAATCTAAAGAAGCCAATTACAGCAGATGTGTTAAAAAAATGCAAAGAAGTTGTTACTTATTTTAAGTCTAGCTGTGTTGCATATAAAAAATATATAGAGGAGCAAAACCAGCTTTGGAAGGGAACAACAAATGAGGGAAAAACACCATATAAATTCTTACAAGAGGTTCCCACAAGATGGAACAGTGTTTATTATATGATAAAACGAATACTACTAATATCAGATGCTATAAATAATACATTACTAAAGCAGCGAAATGCTCCTGGTCCCTTTTCTGTCGATGAGCTTAGCGTATTAGGTGATTTGGAGAAAATCCTTTATATTTTTGAGGATGCTACAGAAAAAGTGTCAGGTGAAAAGTATATAACTGTGTCACTAATAGTTCCTCTTGCATTTGGTATATACAATTATTTAACATCTTTACAATTGAACACAGAAATTGGACAAGAATTCTATACTGGTGTAATTGATTCTGTTAGAAGGCGGTTATTTAACTTCGAAACAAGATCAATTCCCAAAATTACTGCTTTATTGGACCCCAGGTTTAAAAAAGATGGCTTTAGAACCACTGAAAATGCCAATCAAGCAGCCAATCTGTTGGAAGAGGAAATGGCAGCCATTATTTCAGGGAATAGAAAAAATACTCAAGAAGAAAATGTCCCAAATAATAGTTCCTCATCAACAGTAACTAGTTCGAGTAGCGTCATTTTTAATTTTTTAGATAAAAAAAATAAGGACAAAGCAACAAATGTAAAAGCGGATGCCATAATTCAAAAGAGGCAGTATCTTGAAAGACCCAATTTATCTGGAGATACTGATCCTTTATTATTTTGGAAGGTAAATATTGTAAATTATAAACATAGATATTTTAAAGATTTCAGTTATTTTGTAGGTGAATGGAAGAGAATTTGAACCGATGCAAGAACTGGTTCAGAAATATTATTGCATACCTGGATCTTCTGTCGAGTCTGAAAGAAATTTTAGTACAGCAGGGCTCATTTTAAATGATCGCAGATCCCGACTAAAATCCAAGTATGTGGACCAATTAATTTTTTTAAATAAAAATTATTGGTTATTCCAATAATTTGTATTTTTTAATTTATACTCAAATAGTAATAAACTATATTTTATTAATAAAATTTTGTTATTACCCCTCCAGTATATTTCCATAAATTTTGTCAAAAAACATATTAGAGTTATTGCAAATGTCAATAAAGGATCCTTTAATAAAGTACAAACACAAATATATCTTCAAGAATCGATATTGAATAAATTTATAAATAAATACATTAGTGACGAATTGTAAGTATTTTCTTATAAGCACATGATATTGGTGTTTCATTTTAAAAATGAGTTTTTTAATAAAAACTATTCATATATAAATATTAATCTATAAACCATTAAAACTTCAAAAATTAAACCTTTTTCATTGTGTTAACTTGTATATATTGTTAATACACTTGGTGTTAGATATCTGTTGAATGAAATATTTACTCTACTTTTGAAACCGGAATTTTAAAAAAATTTAAACTATTGCACAATGTTTGTAGCATATTTGTGCATAAAAATTTATTGAAATTAGGTAGGTAGGTATGTATATAAAAATAATTTATTTCTATACAGTCATGAATTTAATAAATGAGTTATAAAGAAATCTATCCTGTATGTATGTCTATGATCATTGTAATAATAGTTATTAAACACTTTGTTAAACAAAGTTGTTTATAAATTCCTTAAAGGTATAATAACTGGAGCTTCAATAAATATGTTCTTTTTTTAAATTGATTTGGCTCAAAACATTAAGAATATACGTCTGATATAAACTTTTATTTGTGAGTTCCTGTTAATAAATAAAACAAAACAACAAACTTGATCAAATACAAATTATATTTTTTGGATCCTATATCTAACCCTAACCAAACATTTTTGTTAATTTGTTACAAATTACAAACAAAATGTGGCACGTGACACGTGATGTGATGATAAATAGAAGTGAAGTTAGAGCTCTTCTTTTTTCTTCACATAATTTGACAAATTATGTCAAAATAAACGGTCTTGGCCTGCATTTTCCAAGGACGTATATTGGGCAATACTGCGCGTGCGTATATGTCAAAATAAAGGACTATCGAAAACTATCGATAATTATCGATGTTTGCACGCTTACCTATCGATAACTATCGATAGTGGACACTATCGATAGTTTCGTATCACTAGGCTGAAAGCAGCCACATTAATTTCCCTTCAGAATTCCAACTGGCATTGTCTGCGGGCAGCCAACGAGCTGCCGGCGCACCGGGCGCGTTCTAGAGGCTGCCGCAGAAAGGGATTCTTGACTGCCTAGTGCGCGGAGTCTGCGCAGCCTGGCTGCGACAGTCAGGCTACCTAGTGCACGGAGAGCCGTCTTGTCCACAATTCTAATCTACGAAACATATACACATGAGGGTATTGTAGAATACTCCCTTTTCTCCTTCCCTTTAAAAAACTAATTGTTCGGAAACTATCTTGTAAGTGGTTATTTGATCTAACCTATCTGATTTAATCTAATCTGCAAAATATGATCTTGGATGAGCTATCAACAAGATTAGTCTTTAATTGAAGATTTTTTTAGTGGAACCACTCTTATCCCCTTCAGAATTATTATCCAGTTTCAGTAACGAAATATTTGTCAGTTAGTAGTTCGCAAAAATGTTTTTTATGTAGGAGAAAATTGATAAAACTTTGTAGGCTGGTTTCTAGATTAGAACTTTAGAACCGCTGTACAGAATCTTTGATCAGAAACGAATTGAAGTTCTGGTTATACAGGAACGAAATGAAGTTCTGGATGTAAGTAAAGCCACCAAACCCAAAATGACCGTTTTATTGACACTAACCCGGTTTATAATGGCTTGAAGCGTTAGGACCTCGATTAATTTTTACCGACTACACTCTCTATGATCTGTTACGTGCTTTTATAAATAAATTACGAGGTGAAGCTCCACGCTTCAAGCCTTAATACAAATACGATTAAACAAATAATTGATGAAATTTTGTGAAAGTGTCAAAAACAAAAGTTTTCAGTGCTTTATTATTAAACAAATATTACATTATAATTATTACAACTTAAATCAATAGCATGTGGAAACAAAAAAATTTAGGCTACACATGCAATAATATTTGAGAAATTAGCGTTCTTTACACGAGGCAATAAAACCCATTGTTTACTCGAATAACACCAGCTAAAAATTGTATCAATATATATATATATATATATATATATATATATATATATATATATACATCTATATCTTTACCGCTTCTGCTATTAAACCTTAAAACGACTTCACTAAGACACTTCCAAGATAAAAATCATACCACAGAAAGACTTAAAAATAGAATTTCTTTTATGAACTTGTTCGTCAAGCCAGGGACATATGTGGTAGAAAACATAATTCTAATTAAATCATAACATTTCTATGATGCAAGTCGCAAGATAGGGAGAGGAAACCAAAGTGTGTAAATAAATAGCTCATAAACTGACAAAACGGATGATGGAAATGATGGTAATAATGATAAATTGTCAAAATATATTTGTGGTAAAACGTTTCTTATGATTAATACTCGCACCATAATAAAATGGTTGCCCATAATAAAATGATTTCTCTTATTTTACATGTATAAAAAAACTCCCATGAACCCGCTTCAATGTCACCATGTTGCTATGATGCACAATAAAGTTTATATTTAGAAATATATCATGGTTTTACATTTTACTAGGAAAGATTTTTGTTCATAATTTAAAACTTACTAACTACAGAACATATATCAAGTTTGCTTTTTAATTATCTGTAAACGTTCCAAATGAAATCACTCTTTATAAATAATTTATGGGTTCCAAGAAGCTAATAGTGGTTAGTCTGAAATTGATTTATTGAAGCAACTCACTCTCGGACTGTTTCTATCGACTAGTCCCTATATGGTTTTATTGGTAATTGAAAATAAATTGCAAAACTCACCTTGCAACCGTGGTGGTAGTGTTGTGCGAGGGATCACTGATGTTCCGTCTTTGTTTCCTCTGTAAAATTACAATAAAAAATTAATTCGTTTTAACGAACTTATCGATTTAGCAGGTATTTATAATTTTCTCACAAGAGTCAAAATGAAATAATTCATAATGTTAGAATGGTAACAACGGCTAGGAAAGCTATAGAAAGACTTCGAAGAAAAGCCTGATATTTAAGTTTATAAATTCGTAGAAATCTCCGAAAGAAATTTGAGAATAAATGAGATCTGATGCTGGTATAAAGACAAAGAAGAAATAAAAGTAAACATAAATTAGTAGAAAATATAAATACACACCAAAATTAACCATAGCAAAAGCTATAGAAGGAGAAAGAAAGTTAAATAAAATATTCAAACCAAATTTGATTGACCAATGACAAAAGATTTTAATCAGAGACTAAAATATGTGTTAATAACGTGTAAGCAGTGTACTAGCGTGTCCTCATTATGGCACAATGTAGGTTAGCATTTATTTACTGGGCATGAACAGGACAGCCTAAACTGTTCTACCGGAGACGACCATAGATGTGCCAATTGTCAGTATAGTAATAATCCTCACGATAAACGAACTTATAACAATCGCTAACTAAGAATAGTCAACGCGGCGCATGTTTAGTATTACAAACATTTCCAAGAAGCGGTTGATGAATGATATCTTTAAGTAGCATGGCGTGGTCGGTGTCAAAACCGTTCAAGTTGAACTGTTACAAAAACGAGAATTTGGGCTGTTTCTTCTTAGCGGTCTAGGCGACCGATGTACCTAAGAACAGCAATGAGGTGACCAAAATCACAAGAGAAAAAGTTGCCCAACCACTGCAAAGAATAAAGAAAAGTAAATTAGTTGGATAAGACAATATGTCTGGAAATGTATTGGTGAGCGTTAGGGAAAACATTTATCACGAATGTTAATAGAATTATGAAAGCGAAACAAACGCGACATAGAAATGTTCAACAATGTAAAAACTTTATATCCATGAAGTTACTTAGCGACAGCATTCAAATATAAGAGATAATCTGAAAGGTGAATACGAGAAGAAACAAATGTATTCAAAAATATATTTGAGTTGCGCAAAGTAGATCAACAACTGTGTCATTCCACTAATGACACTTTATCTTTTGAATGCAAGGTTAAACCGGTTGAAGCCAAAGAATGAATGCAGAAACCTTTAAAAAGTTTTAAGTCTGTTAAGGATTTAGCTCTGCATTGAGGCATTATGATGATCTTCTTCTTCTTCACTGGCTTACAACTCTCTTAAAAATCATGATGATTATTTGCTCGTTATTCAGATTTTCTTTTATTTGCCCTTTTCTTTGTCCTATGTAGCTCTACATGGCAAATACCGCAAGATATTTGTTTGTATGGACAAACCACAATATATGGTACTTACGCGTTTCACAGCATTTTAAGAGATTCCTGAAGCTTCTGGTGGATACACGAGGAGACCCACAACCCTCCCCATAGAAAAAGATGGGAACCTGGCGACGATAGTTGAGGAGAAGATGGCGGCCTAGAAAGTGTACGTCAAAGAAATTTTGCAGAACTTCAGAGTCAAACCTCCAGAAATTTGCATTACCAGCCCGTCAATACTAGAGAGCGATGTGAAACCGGCTCTAAAACAGTCTAAAAACAGTGCTACCACAGGTTCGGGAGAAATACCAGCCGAACGAATGAATGTGACAGGTGAAGTGAGCATAAAGGTAAAGGTAAAGTGAATTGTTTAACGTCACTTACGATTCAGGTAACATTCCAAAGGAATGGCTGTTGTCAACATCTGCAGCACTGCCAGAAAAAGTCTACGAAAACATGCACTTAGATTTTTTTGAAATCATACATGCAGGATTTACAAGAAATGAGAAGAAAATATCGGAAAAATGCAGATTGAATGTCGCAATTCCGTGGGTACACGAGAAGTACTTTTCACTTTACAAGTCATGCTCCAGATGCCTTGACGTCAGATGTGGCATCTATATTTGCTATATTGACTACGGTAAAGCATTCTACTGTTGTTAATACAAGAAGATGATCACCTCTTATGAAGAGTAGGAATAGATGACGACATTCGAATAATCACGAATTTGTACTGGAACCAGCGTGCTCAAGTCAGGGTTGAAGGGAAGTTGACCAACCTGGTGAAAATCATGCAATGAGTAAGACAGGGTTGTATGCTCTCGCTGACTCCTTTCAATATATACTCTGAAGTAATTTCACGATTCTGGAAGTAACGAATAGGAATCCGGATTTAACGGAAAATACATAAAAAATCTCCGCAACGCTGACGACAATGTGCTACTAGCAACCAATCTAAATGATCTACAGACCTTATTACTGTATTATTGGCACTGAATTATAAGGAACTATTAACTTACAATTTGACCCCGCTGATTAAATTAGGTCCAAGATCGAAAGTACACGATCCACATTTACCAAGATAATCTTTACTGTGCTGCAGTGACCTGAGTTTTGAGACAAATATGTGGATAGTGATGTACTACGTTTTTCCGGTGCTACAATACGGAGTCGAAGCTTGGACACTGAGACACGCCACGCCACTGAAAAGATCGAAGCCTTCGAAATGCAATTCTACTGAAGAGAATATTGAAGATATCTTATGTGGACCATGTCACCAACGTCGCATAAGAAAAGAAAAAGAAGCGCGTAACTTAGTAAATCAACGTAAGCTTACAGATATCGAAGCGCGTACTTCGATATAAGCTTACAGTTACTACAGATATAAGCTTACAGAAGCGCGTAACTTAGTGAATCAACGTAAGCTTTGAAAGATATCAAATTCTTCGACTCGTCATACACGGCAAAGTATTTGAAACCGTCAACAAAAACACTGATGATCGCCAACATCCGGACTGGATAATGCACTGAACAAGAAGTGCTTGAAAAGTGCAGACAGAATGAAAAAGAAAAAGTAATGGTTATATGTACTTGCATATGACAAATCAGCTAACGTGTATTTAAAAATAAACGGGGTCAGTGTTACCTTGTTTTTTTCAAAGCCAATATCTTCTAAACTTGACTTGAATTACTGAAAAAATTACGACTGAAAACGTATGTTAGTACTAACCTTTTCTGATTGTTCCTTTACACTTTCTGACCTATTAATATTGCTATTGTGTTTCCTATGGTTTCCCGAAGCTGGAAGGATGGTACTGCTGCAAAAAGAAAAATATATATTATTTACTAGTAGGAAATATATAACGTTCTTAGTGTATTTAAAAAAGCACCGTTCTTACTACTCTATACTGGTAAAAAAATAATCAGGAAACATTCACATTTTTAGTTGTACCGCTAATCATATTTCTCAGGGAAATTAAAAAATGTGAAACCAAAAATATTGAGTAACTAACTTTAAGAAATAAATCAGAATCTGAAATGAGCTGTTCGTGAAGAATAAAAAGAGTTGAGTCAAGATCAATTATTGAAACATCGAAAATCATTATAAGCGTTAAAGAAAACATGTAGGTACACCTTTAGAGTGCAAATTAAATCACATACTTAATGTTAGAATATTCTGAAGCTATTTTCTTGTGGCATCTTAATGTAATTACTATTTGCCAATATTGCTGCATTGCGTTCCTTGGACGACTTTATTGTAAGTGAGTTAATGGACGAGATAGAAAATCTGTCAGATAATGAACTTTCTGACGACATAATTATTTTTCCACTCAAAGATGGGGAAGGGACTGACGAGGACAGCGGTGATGAAGATCCTGTGGAAATAAGTAACTTGGCAAGAAATCAACTACTAATAGAGGCAGAGCATGATCCAAAAACCCATACCAAATCCGATATAAATGAAGATGAAGACGACATCCCTTTGCCGCACTCTAAAAAGATTACGTCAAGAGAGATATACATAGCAAGATTTTAAGTTGGAGTATAATAGAAGGTCTAAAAAACATCATTTAGCCGGTAGATACTTTTTGCCTATTTTTTGATGATACAGTTATTCAGATGCTTCTTGAATTTTCAAATATGTACGCCAATTTACCTAACCATAATGGAGTTATTACAACAAACGAAATTAAATGTTTTATTGGAATTTTATTATATAGTGGATATATGAGTGTTCCTAGGCGAGATATGTACTGGGAAAAATCCTCTGATCCTATTCACGACCTTGTAGCTAATGCAATGTCTAGAAACCGTTTCAGATTTATCATACAGAATATTCATTGCTGTGACAATGCAAAATTGGATATACAGGACAAATTTTCAAAGGTTCGACCACTGATTGATGTAATAAATAAAAAATTTCTCGATTTAGCACCACAAGAAGAACACCACAGCTTGGATGAGTCAATGGTTCCGTATTATGGAAAACATGGATCCAACAGTTTATCCGTGGTAAACCTATCAGATGTGGATATAAGTTTTGGGTGGGGACTACTAGGCTAGGTTATGTGGAGTGGTTTAATCCATAGATCTTCATCCACTATTCAAGATAAATATAAACTTCTTGATTTGGGACCTAATATTGTCTTACAATTTGTTGATGCACTAGAAGTCAAGGCTTCCAAATTACCCTATGAATATATTGACAACTATTTTACCACGCTGCTGCTTTTGGGAAAACTTACATCAGAGAGATGTAAAGACAATAAGAGAAAATCGCCTAGGTACTTAAAGATTGTGATATTGAGGGTTCAGACACATTGAAAAAGAAAGGAAGGGGTTCGTTTGACTACTGCACGGCAGGGGAAAGTTAAATAGTAGTTTGCAAATGGAATGACAAAAATGTTGTTTCCACAATATCCAATCACAATCAGATATATCCAACAAAGCAAGTACAACGGTATTCTCAAAAAGAAAAAAAGAAGGTGCTTGTGGAGCAACCTAATATTATAAAACATTATAATGAAAAATGGGTGGCGTCGATCGGGCAGATGAAAATATCAGCTACTACAAAGTAGACATCCGTGGCAAAAAATGGTATTTTCCCATAGTAAGCCACATAGTGGATCTAGCAGAACAAAATGTCTGGCAACTCCATAGAATTAGTGGTGGTAAAATGGATCATTTACAGCATCGTCGCACAATTACAGTAGGAATTCTTAAATCTTTTTAAAATACAACAAAAAGAGGACCCAGCAAACCTTCAGCCAATTTTCATAGTCACTCAAGATACCATCAAGATCGGATGGACCACCTTATTGTCTATAAGGACACTCAAACTCGTTGTGCTGCTTGCCACAAAAAATGTAATTTTTGTCGCAATAAATGTAATGTAGCACTACATCCAAAACAATGTGTTTATAAATATACAAACGAGATATTTAAGATTTTTTTTATTTTAATTTGTTGAAATAATTAAAATAAAAAATTAGTTTTAAAATTTTGGTACTTCTAATTATTTGTTATTCAATCATTGATTATGCCACCGGGCTTTTAAAAGGATACCCTTTTTTGAAAAACATCGTATTTTTTGCAAAATTTCTTCCATACTTTATTTCTGTCAACCTTAACAAGCCTAAAAATTAAATATCTCCTCAATATAAGAGAATAAAAGTTTCGACCTTAAATGGGTTAATAAAAGAGATTTTAACAAATGTTTCTCCTCTGAGAACGAATTTTCTTATAATTTATAATAATTATAATATACAATAGTTATCAAAATAGTAATTGCACTTCCAGTTATATTCTGCTTCTTGTATTTTCGCATGTTTTAGATTATTTTTCTTTTCTGTACATAAACAGATAAATCTTTGGTTTTATGGAATAAATATCCACCATTATATTTTTATAACATACAGTTAATCAGAAAAGGTTAAAATGTTTGTGCTTGTTGCCCATCAGTCTGTAACACTTTCTCGAATGGATGCAATAAAACGACAAGATATATATCCGCCCTTTTCATCGGCAACAAACCGGAAGGCGGTGTAGTATGCACGGTAACGTATATCAATATGAACTATTTCTGAATCGACTTAAAGTAAGCAGTCTCATAAATAGCAGATACATGGTCTTGGAAAAACACTTAACGCACCTAGACTTCTCCAATGTCTTTTTCTTTTTAGATCTCACTAAAATATCTCGAGCTAAGAAAACTTCATCGGGCCACATACCGGCACTTGAAACACAAATTATACAGGAAGAGTCAATAGTTTGCAAAATGAATGTCTTTAATACCGCCGGTAAGTTTATAAACAAAATAAAAAAGAAAGTCAGAGAGTCAGTAAATTATTATGTTATAATTTTTTAATGAAACACTTTAGATACTGATGAAATATTAATTAATATGTAATTCATAATTTTTTAAGATCTACAGAAAGATTTTTTTTTTAGATTTTTTTATTACAACTTTGGCAAAGATAAGCATTTTCAAAAATTGGTCTTAAAAACTTTTTAATTTCCCAATTTACTTATTTGTTTTCGTGTAATGGAAACTTTCTCCTGCTAGATTAAAGTAATTCTGGCGGCTACCATTGATCTAAATTTGTGGGGTGAAATATTTGCGCGCGACTTAAAAATTATGAGGAATACAATGCCAACATGAATATGAACTAAAATTGTTTCCCTCACAAATTTACATCAATAGTAGTGAAGAGAATTACTACCTAGAAGGAGGAGTAGAAATAGTGATCTAATTAAATTACGTTGATTGCAGCAGTTGATGAAAAAATATGAAAAAGCATACCGTGAAGGTACCGAAGACAAAAAAAATGGAAAAGATAGGTGGTTAAATGTATATCTAGAAGACTTAAAAAATCTGGAAGGTAAGTAAGAAATTCAAAAAAGTAGATTGGTTGATCTAGACGATGTTCAGATATAGTACTACTAGATATCAAAGAAAATAATGTAAAGAATTGAAAGAAGAAACTAAATAAGAAAACATGTAAGCTCAAAAGAACTGAGGCCTGAAGTCCTAAAAGTTACTCAAACATTTTACCGTGATTTATATTCCTCAAACAAGAACCCAGATAACACTGCAGAGGAAGGTCTTAAGAGAAAGATAACGAATGTCAACTCAGAAATACTCCCTAACATAGAATCCTTCGAAATAAAACAAGCTATGGCACAACTAAAGAACAATAAGACTCCGGACCCAGATGGAATACTTGTAGAAATGTTGAAGAAGGGGAGTGAAATTATTCTCGAATAATTGAAAAAATTTTTCAACGAATGTCTTTACAAAGGAGAAGTCCCAGATGATTGGAATGAAAGTTTAACAATACTTCTCTTCAAAAAGAGAGACAAAGGACATCTGCAGAACTATAGGCCAATCTCCTTGCTGTCCTAAATGTACAAACTGTTTATGAGAGTAATAACTAACAGGTTAACGTCGAAGCTCGATAGCTATCAACCGGTAGAGCAGGCAGGATTCCGAAAGGGTTACAGTACAGCGGATCATCTTCTTACAGTCAGAACGCTAACATAAAAAGCCAATGAATATTATACATTGGCTTCGTTGAAAAGGCATTCGACTTCATAGAACTTTCTGCCACAGAGAGCGCTATGAACAACTGCAGCATAAACTTCCGATACAGAATGCTCATACATAATATTTACAAGAAAACTACAATGAAAATACAAATAGATGCGAAAACCAAAACTATAACAATCAACAGAGGAGTTTGCCAGGGAGATGTTTCACACTTGGACTGGAAAAAGTGTTCAAAGACATTAACTGGGTAGATAAAGGATTAAATGTTAATGGAAGAAAACTGAGTAATTTGAAATACGCTGATGAGATTGTAATATTCACTACAAGTTTCGAAGAACATTAGAGAAATAACGTTGAACCACATAAATTTAGAAACAGTAAGCGAATAAATCTACCTGGGACAGATAGTGAAAGTTAACAAAGAAAATCAAACTGCCGAAATTATCAGAAGAATAAGGTTAGCATGGGCAGGATTTGGAAAACTGAGTTTGATCTTAAAAAGCACTAAAATAGAACAATATTTGAAAACCAGAATTTACGATCAGTGTATCCTCCCTATACTCACGTATGGTTCACAAACGTGGACACTCATCAAGTCTAATATGGATAAAATAGTAAACGCACAAAGAGCGATGGAAAGATCAATACTCGGGGTGAGATTTATAGACAAAAAAAAACAAACAAATGGATTAGAAGCAAAACCAAAGTAAAAGACGCAGGAGAACATGCTGCCAAATTAAAACGGGACTTCGCAGGACACAATGCCCG